ATGGAGTTCATTCAAAACCAAAGCTGAGAGAGATGCATATGAAGGAAATTTGAGGTTGCAGTCTTACCCACACATTGGTTGTTGTGTGCCTTCATGGAATCAAAAGGCGTCCCATGGGGTCTTATAAAACTGGAAGTATCTTAGGGTCTTTTCAGACTGCCAGAAATAGTGCAAATTGAGTCCACTTTAACTGCCCTGACTCAGTGCTAGGGAATCATGGGAACTGTAGTTTATTGTGGCACCAGAGCTCTCTGACAGAGAAGGCTCAATGTCTCAGAAAAAAAAAATACAATTCCCATGACTCCCTAGCACTAACCCTAACCCTTAAAGTGGACTCAATTTGCACTATTTCTGGCAGTCTGCAAAGGACCTTAGACTCAAACAGTCCTTGTATTGGCTTAGTTCTGGATAGAATTAGAAGATATTTTGGCAAATGCAATCCCTCAAATCTCTCTCTGTCCAGATAATGAGAACTTGCATGCAAGAATGGTTGAGGAGACTTAAATTGACCAGTGCCTGCCAGTGCCCCTCTGAAAATTCTCTCTCTGGGATGTTTTCTTCAAGCCAGGTTTACTCTTGGTTTCAAAGCCAGTGAAAAATATATTAAAATTACCAAGGATGGGTAATTGCATCCTTCTAATTGCAGTAGAAGTTCTAAACATCGTATCACTTTCCATTGACTATCACCTACGAGTGCTTCCTCTTGTATTAATGTTACAAAGAGAGTTGTGGATTGGGAACTCTGTTCTGCTTTTTCTGATTTTTTGGGGGGTCTGTTATTATTATCATCATCATAATTTCTCCTTCATCAAAATATTTGGTGAGATTATTAGTGACATTATTCTGATTATGATTATTAATATTTTGGGGAGAGGGAGGATTTCAGAACTTGGCTGTAAAAAAGGAAGTAAATATGGCAATTGGGAGGCCTATAAATCAGCTTTTACAATACTTTCCTTTTGGTTGAAAAGGTTTCTCTGGTTGAACTGTATTTGCTGTAATTTTAATTGTTGTAAGCCGCCCTGATTGTTTTAACAGAGGGGCGGGGTGTAAATAAATGTTGTTGTTGTTATTATTATTATTATTATTGAGTTAGAAACAGTTAAAACAGTACTGGGAAAAGTCTGAATTTTGGTTGGTGTTGTTCAGATCAAAGCTCAGAAAGCTTCTTGGATTGGATTACAACTTCCAAGTGTTTGCAAAGGTGTGAAAAACAGAGTTAGGAAACATTTTGGTTTGTTTACTGCAGAACTTGGAAACTGTAATTTCCAGACAAATGTTTTCCCATTTGTTATACTTTGTGTTCTTTTTTCAAATGATTTGCACTGTGGTTGATGCTTCATGTATCATACTTTAATATACTTTTACCTGAAAGCTCAGGACTTGGGCTGCTCCTAGCTTGACAATCCTTATTCCACATGGTTTTAAAATAAAATAAGTTATTATAGGTGACTTGCTGTCTGTTATAGGGATCATATCTTCTCAGATAACATTTTGAAATCTTGATGGATCCTTTCCATTTGACATTTGAAGTACTTACATGAGACAACAATAATGTTTATTTTGTCTACAAGTTGAGT